GGTGTGTGGGTGTGTGGGTGGGTGGGTGGGGGTTGTGAAAGGCCACACTCTCTCATCCTTTTTTGCTGTCTTTTTCTTCATTCTTTCAGGAAAATGTCACCACCCCTTTCTCATAATGGGTTGATGCTAAGAATACATGGCAAGGGGTTTATGACCACATGAGCTGTGGGAAGTTCATAGGAAAAGAGTGAGAACTGGGAGTGCACTGCGAATGCATGGAGACATGTATGTGCAGATCTGGGAGGAGATATGTAAGAATAAGAACGTGTCGTACAGGGGCAGCTTACATCAGGAAAGCATAATGGCTGCTCACATGGGCCTTGCCAGTGTGTCAAGTGTTGTTTACTATTTCACTGTGTTCAGAGGTAGCCATTATCATCCTCATTTACGGGCATGGAAAGTAAATGGCTGAGGTGAAGTAATTCTCCCAGAACTAAAGTCTGACTCCCGTGTCTATTCTCTCACGCATAGTACTATTCTGTGTTATACACGTGGGGACAAAAGGAATGAGAGCCCTAATTAGAAAGCAGCTTGGTATCTTGAGAGGAAAAGTAGATGGAATGTTAAGAATTTTCCAGGAGGAACTGGGGAATCACAGAGCAGAAAGTATCCATGTCCAGGGCGGGGTCTTATAGCAGAGCAGGCCTTCCCACTTCCTGGCCCCACCTCCTCAGGCCCCAGAAAGCATATGAAATCAGCCCTGGTTCTTCAGCACACAGACTTTCTCCTGCCCTCTTAACGGTGTGCTGCTCTTATGAGTTCTCTACTTCAAAGGCTGGGCAAATGGAAGCTGAAACATTTCTAGCCTCCAAAGCTGTCTACCTCAGAGCCAACACCAGCCTGTGAGAAAGGAGAATGTATTTACCTGGTGACCTCGAAATCCCCTAAAGATGTAGGGGGTTGCCTTGGAGAGCCGCACTCTGGCTTTTTCTGCAACTTGGATCCAAGATTACCCTGGATGCGAGTAGTAGCGGTAACAAACAAGTGTTCTAGCAGCAGGGAGAGCCAAGATCAGTTCTAAAGTCCTGTCTGCACTATAACCAGAGTCTCTGTAGGGAAAACTCTGGGAAGAGCTACCTGGATGTATTAGGTATATAGATGTATTTGACAGCTCTGTATTTGTATGAGGGTATAAGTATATGTGAACTGATGAGTATGTAAGCTGGGACAATTGTGAACATGAGAAGTACAATGGAGAAAATGTCCCCCATAGCGGGTTCTCAGGAGTCAATGTTAACACAGTGGAGGGAGCTATGACTAGGAGTGTTTATGGTGTGAGTGACTTTATGGGTGGAATTGTAAATGGAGAACCTCATACTAAGAATCTTTGTGTTGGGCTGGGCATGGAGGTGCACACCTTTAATTCTAGCACTTGGGGGGCAGCAGCAGCTGAATCTCTGTGAGTTCGAGGTCAGCCTGGTCTACATAGGGAGTTCTAGGACAAGCCAGGGCTATGTACAGAGAATGTCAAAAACAAAAAAATCTGTGTGTCTGGTTATAGGGGGAATAGGGGTGAGGAGTCTGCATACATAGTATGATGGGAGAAACGTGTCCCTTCTTTTCTCTCTCTGGAACTGGTTCTGCCAACCTTAGAATAACACCTCCCCCACCCCACTGGCAGTCAAGAATGGGAGGCAGGTGAAGAATGTGTGGAGTGGATAAGGCTCATCTCCTGGAAAATACGAGTGCAATAGAGGGGACAGAAGAGCTGTGTATGAACAGTGTTGCTGTCCTTGGTTTCACCTTTTCCCTCCACTCTGTCTCCAAGTCAGAGGACTTTGCCGCAGGCAAGAGATATTGTGGGTCCTTTCAGTGGAAAAAAAAAAAAACAAAACAGGAGGTAAGATCTTTGGGGAGCAGAATTAGAATAGGCGGCAAAGCCCCCTGATCAATCTACCTCTTGATCTCCTCAGAACTGCAACGTGCAGAAAGCCTACAAGAGAAGAGCGTGAAGGAGGCCAAGACCAAATGCCGGACCATTGCATCCCTGCTAACAGCAGCCCCCAACCCTCACTCCAAGGGGGTGCTTATGTTTAAGAAACGGCGGCAGAGAGCCAAGAAGTACACCCTAGTGAGTTTCGGGGCTGCAGCTGGGACAGGAACAGAAGAGGAGGACGGCATCCCCCCAACGAGTGAGTCGGAGTTGGACGAAGAGGCCTTCTCGGACGCCCGCAGCCTTACCAATCAATCCGACTGGGACAGCCCTTATCTGGACATGGAGCTGGCCAGGGCTGCTTCAGGAACAACAGAGAGTCAGAGCTCCGGGCTGGGAGGGAAGTTGAGCGAGGTCTCTGGGCGAGGGGTTCAGCTCTTTGAACAACAGCGCCAGCGGGCCGCCTCCAGTACCCAGGAGCTGACTCAGGTGGGCCCAGCAGCCATGCTAAATGGGCAGGGTCTGCAGTCACCACCTCGCGCTCAGAGTGCTCCCCCAGAGGCAGCTGTGCTCCCACTCGGGCCTTTGCCGGCCCCTACAGCCAACCCTAGCCCCTTCTTCCCGGATGGTGGAGCCCCCAGCCCAGCGCCAAGTATCTTTAACAGGTCAGCGAGGCCTTTTACCCCAGGTTTACAAGGACAAAGGTCAGGTACCACCTCAGTGATTTTCCGGCCCTTAGCCCCTAAGAAGGTGAATGAAGGACTGCGAGCCACCAGCCCTGCCCCGTCCCCCTTCGTGACCCCTCTTCAGGGGCCCACCTCTCTGCCCAGCTTCACCACAGTGGTGCCCGGCCACACGTCGGTCCCCGGGGCTCCCATCACCCCACGCTCCTCCGGTCCTGTAACCGCTACCAGCTCCCTGTACATCCCAGCCCCGAGCCGGCCCGTCACGCCAGGAGGCGCCCCAGAGCCTCCCACTCCTCCAAGCGCGGCTGCCATGACCTCCACCGCTTCCATTTTCTTGTCCGCGCCCCTGAGAAGCTCTGTGCGCCCGGAGGCGCCGGGTCCCGTGGTCCCCGAGTCTGTCAGCGCTCGGGAGCAGCGCATCTCTGTGCCAGCTGCCCGCACTGGCATCCTGCAGGAGGCCCGACGCCGGGGCACCCGGAAGCAGATGTTCCGGCCGGGAAAGGAAGAGACGAAGAACTCGCCCAACCCGGAGCTGCTATCGCTGGTGCAGAACCTGGATGAAAAACCTCGAGCGGGTGGTGCGGAATCTGGTCCAGAGGAGGACGCTTTAAGCCTCGGAGCCGAAGCCTGTAACTTTATGCAGCCACTAGGGGGCAGGAGTTACAAGACCTTGTCTCAAGTGGCACCGAAAACCCCGCCTCCAATGGCTCCCAAAACCCCACCCCCCCCCAACCCCCACCCACCCCCCCCCCCCCGCCCCCCACCCCACCCCCCCCCCGCC